AAGTTAGATGAGTAATGAAACAATGGTTTGGCTGCATTGTCATTTTTTTAACGGCCGTTACTTGCCACGTCAGCAAATAAGGTAACAGATTTTTTAGACTGATGGACGGAGTGCAAACGGACAAAGTTCATTGAGCACTGTGAAGAACTTTAAAGTTTAGGCCCTATTTGACACCCATTTTGTTTGAAAAATAATTTTTGGAATAGTGATTGATGGAAGATTGTGTGGTTAAAAAAGTAAGGAGAATTTTTTGTTTATGTGTAATATTATTTTATTAATAGAATGTGTGGTTGAAATGAGGAAAGAGAAATAGAATGAAAAAAAAATGTGTGTCAAACATGGGCTTAGTGAACAGTCCGTAACTATGATATAAGTTGGGTGATACAATTGACTCACATTATGTGCTAACTACCATTTTAATAATTTATTTGGAACTTGTTTACACTTTTAAAAAAAAAAAAAAATGGGACTACGATTGCAATTAGTTCTTTCTTTTTCTTTTTATTTTATTTAAATAGAAAGTTATATTCGTCATTTCACAATTTTAAATTAAGAAAATGGATGAAAAATGATATTTTGCGTAATGAAACGTGGAAATAAGTGTAAAAATGTCAAAAAAAAAATGAAAGGTAAGAAAGTTTTACACAATAATAGTGAAATGTAATGAGTTTATGTGTTAATTATCCTTTCTATTTTCCAGTATGTTCTACGTATATCTTTATCTATCTACACGCTCATGAGTGTGTGTAACGGGACATGCATATGAGGTAATTGGAAAAATTTCCCTCACCTTTTCAACTATTGTGCAATAATTTCTATCATTTTATTTTGGTGAAAACCCCCTAAACGGCCCAAACCTTGCAAATCCCCTCATATCGTCCAATTCCGTTAGTTTAAGCCCCTATTTAATGGCCATTATAAAAAGAAATTAAGAAAAAAATAATGTTTTGAATAGTGATTTTTTGAAAAATGTGTAGTTTTTGTATAGAAAATTTTTAAATTTCGAGCAAAATATTTTATTATATGAATGTACGATTGAAAATAAGTATGAGAAATAAAGAGTTTTGTTTTAATGGAAGTCAATAAGGGCTGGACATTAAATCCACTTATAATGGCCGAAATTAAAAAGAAATAATTGTAGCTTTTGGTTCTAAACCTATCACTATAGAACCTATCATATTTTTATAGATTATATCCAAACCTTTTTTTTTACCATCCATAGTCTCAAATCTTTTATTTCATTATAACAGAAGGATAAATCGATGAAATCCATCCATCCCACTATTAGTTGACCAAAAGAAATAAAAATTTGACCTCTTTTGACTAATTTTAAAAGGGCAAAATTGTTGCTTTACAATTATCACATTAAAGAATTAAAAAATCAAATAAAAGAAAAAATAGAGAAAAGAAAAGGAATAAAAAAGAATTAATTTTTCATCTTCTTTCCCCCCAAATCTCCCACCCTCTGAAAAATGAATCATAATGCGATTTAATCTCAAATGACTCGCCTAGACAGCTTGAAAACCGCTCAATTTTTTATTTTATTTTATTTATTTATTTATTTTGAACAAAGACCTATTAAAAAAGATCTATGAGGCTTTTTCTATAATCCAAATCTACATACATGGATGAGGTGTTATTGAGGTTTAGCATAAAAGAATCCAAGGTAGGATTCAATCCCTAAAGATCATGGGATTAACCATTCTAAAGACATTTGAAAAAATGAGAACAAACTTTTATATATTTCTTCTACCTTTTCTCAGCACGATACATAGAACTATATACTTACAAAGCTTCCTAATTTTAAGGTGTACAATAAGGAAACAAATCAACTTACTCCTAATTCTGACCTTATAGTAAAAACAGAATATATCACAATAATTTAAAATCTTCAAGGATTTGATTTAAATTAAACCAAATCTTAACACTCCCCCTCAAGTTGGAGTATGGATGTCAAGCATGTACAACTTGCGTATTAAGTTCCTGAAATTATTTCCACCTAAAGCTTTGGTGAAAACATCAGCCAACTGGTGAGATGATGGGACAAATTTTGTAATAATCTGCCCTGCTTGAATCTTTTCTCTCACGACATGACAATCAAGCTCAATATGTTTAGTGCGTTCGTGATACACTGGATTTGCTGCAATATGAAGGGCAGCTTGATTGTCACAGAATAAGTTGACAGGTCCAAATGAAACTTGCAAGTCATTGAATAAGAATCTTAGCCAAGTGAGTTCACAAGTTGCAACAGCCATCAACCTGTACTCTGCTTCTGGGGATGATCTAGATAATGTCTTTTGCTTCTGTCTTCCAAGAAATTAAGGAGTTTCCAAGGAACACTCCATATCTTGTAGTTGATCTCCTCGTCATAGGGCAGTTTGCCCAATTAGCATCACAATAAGCCTTCAATGTTAGAGAATTGTGAGAAGAGAATAACAACCCGAGACCTAGACTTCCTTTTAGATACCTCACAACACGAAGAGCAGCATCCCAATGTGGCTTCCTTGAAGCATGCATAAACTGACTTATAATATTCACAGAGTATGTAATATCCGGCCTAGTGATTGCAAGGTAGATTAATCTACCTACCAATCTTCTGTAACGAGATAGATTAAGTAGGAGTTCACCTTGATTGTTTGTAAGTTTCAGGTTTTGTTCCATAGGAAAATCAACAGGTTTGACTCCAAGAAAACCAATATCAACTAGAATCTCCAAAGCATATTTTCGTTGTGATATAACAATACCAGCTTTGGATCTTGCCACTTCTAAACCGAGAAAATACTTTAAATGACAAAGATCTTTAATGTGGAATTGTTGGTGATGGAAAACTTTGAGATCTTGAATAGCTTTTTCATCATTTCCCGTGATGATCATGTCATCAACGTCTATCAGAACCACAGTTAGAAATCCATTAATCTTTCTAACAAATAAAGAGTGATCAGAATGAGATTGAGTAAAACCAGCATTCTCGATTGCTTCTGAAAACTTTGAAAACCAATTTCTGGGAGCTTGTTTAAGTCCGTAAAGAGACTTGTGCAGTCGATATACTAAGTTTTCCCCCGATCGACAGAGGCCGGGAGGTGAGGTCATATATACCTCCTCATCTAAATCACCATGAAAAAAAGCATTATGAACATCCAACTGAAATAGAGGCCAATTACGAACAGCAGCCAAAGCAAGAAGACATCGAACAGTAGTTAGTTTTGCCACAGGGGCAAAAGTCTCATGATAATCCAAGCCCTCTTTTTTATTAAAGCCTTTGGCCATCAAACGGGCTTTGTAACATTCCACTGTGCCATTGGAATTATATTTGATGCGGAAAACCCATTTGCTACCATTGGGCCGATGGCCAGGTCGAGGGAAAACCAAAGTCCAAGTATGTTGATTGGCAAGAGTAGTGAGTTCGAGGTTCATGGTCACACGTCACTTTGGATCTTGGACTGCCTGTTCATATGTGGTAGGTTCAAAAGTACTAAAAATAGTATTGACAAAAAATTTATGAGAGAAGGACAACAAGTCATAGGAAATAAAGTTTGATAAGGGATAATGAGTACCTGGCCGTGAAGAAGATGACATGCCATGAGGTGTTGCAGAAGATAATGTACTAGCTTAGCTACAGTGAAAGTCACGAAGCAGTACAGATGCGATCACTTCGACGAAGGACAGGGGTTGTAGGAGAGGGATGTGATGGGGATGAAGGGAGAAGGAGAGTTGGTGATGGTAGTGTGGAGGTGGATTACATATCAGGAGATGGAGAAGGCGATGACTAGTCAGGAGATTCAGAAGCTGGGAAAGTTAAAGGTAATGATGGATCATCGTCAGGTGTGCATAGAGGTGTGTGAGAAAATGAAGGATTCACCGTTTGTGTTTCAACATTGGGAGTAGAAAAAGGGAATATGTTCTCATAAAATATCACGTGACGATTGGAAAAAAATTGTGAGTAGTAAGATCATAGATATGATAGCCTTTTTGTCTGGAAGGATAACCAACAAAAATACATTGGCGAGCACGAGGAGAAAGTTTTGTGAGTGGTTGAGGGTTGGTGGCATAACAGAGGCATCCAAAGACTTGCAAATGTGTGTAACTTGGAGGTTTGTTCATATGGAGTTTTATGATGTAATACTGGTGCAGGAAGACGATTAATAAGATAGGTGGCAGTAAGTAAACTCTCTCCCCAAAAATGTAAAGGAAGATTTGCTTGAAATCTTAAAGCTCGACCAACATTAAGTAAATGACGGTGTTTGCGTTCTACGACACCATTTTGTTGAGGTGTAGAGGGGCAAGAACTTTGAAACAAAATGCCAAGCTGAGAAAAGTGAGTTTTCATCGAGGTAAATTCCAAGCCATTGGATACATTTAATTTGGCTATTAAATTGAGTGTTGACATATGTAATGAATGATTTTAACAAACTCTGAGTTTCAGATTTGAATTTCATAAAAAATATCCATGTGAATCGAGTGCAATCGTTAACAATAGTTAAAAAATAATGTGCACCCGTATTAGTTGTAACACAATGTGGCCCCCAAATATCACAATGAATAAGATCAAAAGAGTTCTTAGATTGAATAGAACTCAAAGAAAATGGTAATCTGGTTTGTTTTGCCAGAGGACAAATCTCACATGAATGTTGAGAATCAAAAACAAAAGAAGGAATTAGTTTGCATAGAAATTGAGATGGAGCTTTAGACGGATGTCCCAGTCGCTTATGCCAAGTGATAGCCAATGGGGTGGAAACATGGTACGTTACTGGTGTAGTTGGTGGCGACTTGGAGTGTGGCACAAGATAGTACAATCCCTTATACTGCTTTCCCAGGCCTATCATCCTCTTCGAAACTAGGTCCTGTAAAATACAAAAGTTAGGAAAAAATTGGATAGAATAGTTTAGGTCAGATGCGAGTTGACTAACAGAAAGAAGATTGACATGAAAAGAAGGGACACAAAGAACATCTTTAACATGTAAATTGTGAGAAAGGTGAGCAGTGCCAACACCAGTGATTTTTTACTGAGATCCATTAGGTAAAGAAACATGTGAAGACATAGGGATGTTACTGATCATTGAAGTTGTTATGTGATGTGTTGCACCATTGTCAATAATCCAATTATCAGATTTGGAAGGGTGTAAAGTAGAAGAAGAGCAGAAAGGTGATGAAATACTTGTATAATTGGCATTAGAAGAATTTTTACCATTTCGGAGTAAGGCCTTGATTTGAGATAACTCCTCAGAGGTAAACTGAAGTGACTGATTAGGTATTTTAGTTGTAGTATGAACAGTCTTGCTACTTGTTTGGTTAGCAGCAACTTTATGATTTCGATTTGGAGGTTGAACATCTTTTCCGTGAAGCTTATGTCCAACAGGAAATCCAATCAAATAATAGCACTTTTCAACTGTATGTGTAGTTCCATCGCAGTAAGTGCAGAACGGTGATTTTCTAGGCCCTTAAGGTTTTAAAATAGGAGGTATCCACTTGGTATGCCGTTGGTGATCATGGAATTGCTATTTGAAGCTGGGCTGAGTTTTGACATTCATAGCATGAACTTGATCAGCTCCCTTATATTCCCGAAGTCCCCTTTGCTTCTCTTCTTCACATAGAAGAGAGTAGACTTTCTTTACAATAGGTAGAGGCTGCATTAGCATAAGTTTCCCTCTCACAGTAGAGCAGGATTCATTCAATCCCATAAGAAATTGTCCTAGGCTGATTTTTTCTTCTTTTTCATTCAAATGTTTCAGTCCTCCACAAGTGCAAATAGTAGAAGGACTGCAAATCTTCAATTCATCCCACAGTGTCTTCATCTTAGTATAATAGGTGAAAATGGATTCTTGGTTTTGCTTCAACTCAACAAATGGATCGTTGAAGTTGATGGTAATGAGAAAAATCACCTTGTGAGAACCGTTCCTGTAGATCTGTCCAAATTTCAGAAGGTGTCTCGAGATAGAGCACACTACTGGCAAGTTCTGGACTCAATGAATTGAGGATCCAAGAAAGAACCATATCATTACAACGTTGCCACGCTTGATGTTTGGAATCATTCTTACTTGGTATAGGTATTGTTCCTTTGATGAATCCCATTTTATTTTTAGCACTAAGACTCACCAACATTGATCGTTTCTAGCGGTGGCAAAAAAGCTCGGTAAAATTACATCAAGATTGATATTATTAAAGTTGAAATAGCGATAAGAAATTGGGGATTTGGTAGTGGAAATTGACTCAGATGGGACCAGGCGGAGTTAGCGGTGGCAAAAAAGCTCGGAGGCTCGGACGGCCCGGGCTCGACTGGAAAAAAGCTAGGGCCGAGCCCCACTTTGGGGAGTCGGCTCGAGCCCGGGCAGCCCGTGGCCCGGGCGAGCCTCCATTATAAAAAAATAATAATAATAATTTTTTGAAGCAGCAAGCTGCCTGTTGTAGGCAACTATTTTTAGCTGCCTGCAAGGGCAGCTAAAGAAAAAAAAACCAAAAAATCCGAACTCGGCTCGGCTCGGGCCAAAAGCGAGGGCCGAGCCTCATTTTTTTTGGTCGGGCCCGGCTCGGCTTAGCTCGGGCCGAAAAAAGCTCGGGCTCGGCCGAACTTTTTTTTCCCGGCTCGAGCTCGGCTCGGTTCGTTGCCACCGCTAATCGTTTCCACATAGCATAGTTGGTTCCATCTAGGATTTTTGGAACAAGAATCATTCTCGAATGATCAGAGGCATGAATGAAAAGCGGATCAAATGGATCTATGGTGAAAGTAGACATGGTATTAACGGCACTGTTGGAGCCAGTTTCTTGCACACGATTGGAGCCAGCATCTTCTTCAATAGACATAATGCGGAAGTTTTAGGATCTTAACTCTGATACCATCAAAGAATGAGAACAAAATTTTATATATTTCTTCTACGTTTTCTCAGCACGGTACATAGAACTATATACTTACAAAGCTTCCTAATTTTGAGGTGTACAATAAGGAAACAAATCAACTTACTCCTAATTCTGACCTTATAGTAAAAATAGAATATATCACAATAATTTAGAATCTTCAAGGATTTGATTTAAATTAAACCAAATCTTAACAACATTTGTTTGTAACATAAAATGTGAGAGAGTGGATATGGATAAGATGCTTTATGATTCGCCAATAGAATCTTCCACGAACTCAATACTATACACGAGATCTAATTTATTAAGAACTAGAAAAAGATAATCGATCCATTCTTGGTATGTGGAGAAAATGAACTTAAAGTTCTTACATATGTTGATTCCAACCCTAAATCGTTAAGGATGATAACAAAACTTTCAGTCTAGTTATGTGCTTACGCTAAATAGTGATGCAGTCGACTGAAATGTTTCAAACAGGGATGATCGCAAACTTTACAACTAACCTAAATACATAGACGCTTTGGAAGTAATCTCGGTCAAGGAATTCATTAGCAAATAATAAGCTATTCCTGACATTGTAGCTCCAGTAGAGCCACTATCCTAGACAATATACGATTGTCACCTAAACTTATGAGGCTTTGGATACATGATTAATTAGATCTAGTTCGAGTGGTAGAAAGATAGCCTATTTTTGGTCTCCTTTTTTTCAAAAATTCATTTTTTTCAAAACTCATTTTCAACCACACTTTCTCCAATAAATAATTTTACACATAAATGGGAAAAAAAATCTTATTTTTTAATCACACATTTTCCAAAAAATTACTATTACAAAATACATTTCTCTCCAAAAATGGGGCTTAGACAGTTATGTCCTAGGTCCAATAGTTGAGATGGTATAACGACTTTAGTACTAATACATTTATATATTGACAGATCTATTATTTTATTGTGTGCATTTACAAATTTAATATATTGGAATCCGAAGATCAAGTTGTGATAACTTGTTAATTGCAAGGTACAATGATTGTGAGAAATGTTATAAATAACTTGATCTTAAATTTTACGTGATCGTTAGTTAAGAGACAAAATATTGTAACTATGGATAGATTAGCACATATTGCATTTCTTTCTTATGAAAAAAGTAGTTAATTTTTCTAGGTTAAAATGTGAAGACATTTAAATCGATACATGAATGAGATAGAAAAATAATTCATTAGATGACATACAATAGAGATTTTAGTAGAACACCTCTAAGTGTTTAGGTAGTAGATTTGGTCATTTGACTTGAGATCTAATATGGGGACCAATAGGGTTGCAAAAAAAAAAAAAATTCATAGAACTACCAATCAAACCGAACCCATTGCTTCGGATCTACGTGGATCCACGATTTTTCTCTCAAACCGTACCAAAAGGTTTCAAAATGATATGGTTTATGTTTTGATTTCAAAAACTGCACAAAATCGAACTGAACCGTTTTTTAAATAAGAAAATAATTTTATTAAATTATAAATTTAATAGTTTTTGCTTTTCAAAAAAAAATTAACTTAACAATACTAATTACAACCAGCCCATTAAAATAATCATATAAAAGTAAATTAGGTTTATCATCATTGCCCATGATTTTACAAGTCCACACCCGTATCTAAACTAAACTAAAATTATGCCCAAATCATAATTGAGCAAAACTACAATAGTGAATCATGCCTAAAGCTTTACAAGCCCTAATCATCATCGCTGACATTGATCGCCAATCCCTAAAGATTTAGATTTCCAATCTCAGACAGTTTCAGATTCTCGTTTAAGCCATTTTCTCCAATATTCTTTCTTCTTTTCTTCATGAAGTGTTATTTCTATCCGAGTCACCTTTGTTTCTTTTTTATTTTGGTTCCTTTTGGTAATGCAATTGTTTTGGGGATTCAAAATGTACTGTAAACCCTTTAGAGCTTGTTTGATAGGGATTTTAATCCAATTAAATTGAAAATATAGTCGTTATTGGGTCTCACCCGTCTAATAAAAGTCAACAATAATGATTAGTTTTTCAATTGTAATTCCTCCCAAACAAACTCTTAATGTGGTCAATTTGGATGTAGAAATTGTCGAATGTATTTATCAGAGATAACCTTTAGAGCCCGTTTGGTACACATTAAAATGAGAGGATGCATTTTTTTTTAAGTAGTGTGATGGAGAATATGTGGTTGAAAAAGAAGGAAAACTTATTGATGTGATGGAAAATATTATTTTATTAAAGAATGTGTGGTTGAAAATGAGTAGAAGAATGAGAATGAAAAAAATAATATGGCCCAACTTAATATAAATAGTTATCATTTCAATATACTTGATTTTATCACTCTACCATGTTTGGTCCTTGTTCTTTGGCATGAGGAATTGCATTTCCCAGTGTTAGAAAATTGGTTTCGTTGAAGATCGTACAAAAGCTATTGCATTTTATGATTGAGTTGCAAGATTCCTTTGCAATTTTTAAAATTACGAAAATGAAATGCTGAGAAATAGAAAAATTACACCATCTCTGAATTCGCATGACAAATTATTTTATAAAGGGAACCGAATTTCTTTGTACAATTGTTCGCTTGAGAAAATCAGTTTAGCATGCCCTTTATGTTGTTTATATTTCCATTGTAGATTACCTTTTCCTAGAGAGAGACACCATTTCTCATGAACGGTATCTTTTGTGATTACTATATATGTCATCTAGATAACAAAATGTAATGTCTCTAAGGACATAGTGATAAGTGCATTTTGCGCATTTATTTAAGCTACAAAACATGGAAAATTGTCTATGTGTATGTTGAAATATGGCTTAATTCTATATAATTTATGTTTATATGATTACATTGATGGATGGAATGAACAATATGCAAAAGCGAGCGAAAAAGGACCAAATTGGAATAAAATGAAACTTCAAGGACAAAATGTAATTGTTCAGAAGATGACCTGGATGGCGAATCAAACATGGATTTGAGCTAAGAACACGTTGTGATGTCATGGAATGTTAGAAGAAGGAGGAGAAGGAAATAAGGCCAAAATATAAATGAAATAAAATTTGGGGATCAAAGTAAATCAAATGGAATTAGTACAATGTGGAATCATCTCTCGTAGTTGTGTAAGAAGTATCTATTATATATGGTTCAAGATTAAAAGCAAAAGAGAATTACTGGCTATAGTATGTATAAAACGTGTGAGCTTTCTAAAGGTATTGGTAGCCGTGAAGAACCTGTCATGTTTGTTCAAAAAGAGATTAGAAAACAAATCACAATGTACTTCATATTGTTTGAGTTACATTTTTGATATGTGGAAGGTAAAGGTTTTCAATGTTATACAAGGTATTTTTTCCAAAATTTGTATTTCCCTCAAGGATGACACCTGCAATGGATATATATAATTTGTCCCTAAATGAGATGAAGAAAATGAAGAAAAGGTTAGGTTAACATAAAGTTTGCTTGACTAATGATTGTTGGACGTCATATGGAATGTTAGTTATTTGTCTTTAATTGCTCATTAGGTTGATAATGATCAGAAACTTCAAAAAATGATTATAAGTCTCATTCAAGCCCCAGGCCATAAGGGAGATATGGTAGGAAATGAGTTGATTTCTTGTCTTAAAGATTGGAAAATTGGTAAGATTTTTGTGTGACTGTTGGTAATGCATCCTCAATGATGTAGCATTGCTAAAATTGAATAGTTGTTTTGAAGAGAAGAATGGTCTAGTACTGGGCGTAGAAATGCTTCATACGAGATATTGTGCTCATATACTTAATCTTATTGTTTGTGATGACTTGAAAGAAATAAGTCTATTTCAGCTATTCGTAATGCAGTGAGGTCTCTTAGATCTTCTTCATAATAACTAAAAAGGTTCAAGGAGAGTTGTAAGGAAGTAAGTATTGAGTCTTGAGCATTGTTCTATTTGGATGTCACAACTAGATGGAAATCCACATGCATAATGTTTCAAGCTTCTATAAAGTTTAAAAAAGCAATCGTTATTTTGGAAAGTGATGAAAACTATACAAACTATTTGAATGAAGATATATTCAAATGAAGAAATATAAATGGACCGCCAATATGAGTCGATTGGGATCGAGCCGAAGTATTCGTTAGGTTCTTAAGGAGTTTCTATGAAATGACTACAAAATTTAGTGGTTTGAAATATGTAATTTCTAACTTTTTTTTTCAAGAAATATGTGAAATTTATGAAGAGTTGAATGAATTAACTAAAATGTCTAACACTTTGATGG